GTAGTTGAATGAAAAATTGAAGAAGCTGACTTACGAACTTTTATTTGGTCCGGTGAACGTACGCAACTTTACGTTCGGCAGCCAGTAGAAACGCGCCACGCGTTTTCATTATTTACCGCGCGCCCGATAACCCGACCCGAAACGGACCCAAAATTGCTCAGTATTGCTCGATATTGCTAGGTATTAATCGATTTTGCTCGGCAATAACCAATACCAAGCAATACCGAGCAAATACCTAGCAATACCAAGCAAATACCAAGTTGTACCGAGTTGTACCTAGTTTTTTCTAACAATACCGAGCAAATACCTAGCAATACCGAGCAAATCCCTAGCAATACCGAGCAAATCCTGAGCAAATACTGAGTTGTACCGAGTTTTACCGAGTTGTAGAAAAACTCGGTACAACTCGGTATTTGCATGGTATTGGTCTTCACATAGCGGAATTTCTCATTTTTGCAAAGCAATACCGAGCAATACTGAGAAAATCGCGAACATAGCATTCCCGGGTTCCGGTCCGAGTCAAGTCGTCGGGCCGCGCGGTAAAGAGTAATAGCACGTGGCGACATGTTATTGACGGCCGAACGTAGCTCTACGTCCGGTCAGAGGACGTAATAATTGTTCCTGACTTACAGCTAATCAGCCAAATTTAATTTCTGTGTCTTTTTTTTTTTTTTGTAAAATTGTTTAAAGGATACTTTATTTTATAAAGAAATCGGAGAAGGTCTCTTTACTTTTTTTTTTTTTTCTTTTTTTTTTTTTTGGAAAAAGGTCTCTTTATTTTTACTGTGAATCATAGCTTTTTCATCCGTTTTTTCTCTTTTAAGTTTTAAGAGAGCATCGCGTGGTGATTCGGAAAGAAAAGTTGAGGTTTAAGATGAATTATTCTGTGCGGAGATCGGACCGGAGAATCATCCGGTGTTCTTTCTACAGTAAAAGCGCAGCTCAGAAAATCGAACAGTTTTCTATGTCTCGTATGCGCACAGAATAGTTTCTTGAGGCTTAATGCTTTCGAATAAGCGACATCGGTTTCATTTAGGACGAATTTTTAATTGTTTCTTATAATAATTTTTTAGTATAAAAATTATAATTTTTGCACTAAAAATTTGTTTTAAGAAACTATGACAACCCCTTAAAAAAAAAGAGAGACCATAATAAGTAATTGATAAAGAAGTAACAAAAATTAAGGTTAAAACTTACCGGTGTTGGTTGAGGTAGGACAATTGATTTGGTTCTAACATTAATGATTTATCAAAAATTATTCATAATTTCTCACTCTTTTTTTAAATCTTTTTTTTTTTGTTCAACTCATTTCATATTAATGTTTATATTATATATAGATATCTGATTAGGAATTTCTAATTATTTATCACTACAAGAAAATTATCTAATATATACCGGCGAAATTTGATGTGGTTAAGCCGGAGAATTAACCGCAGGCAATATCCGGCGGTTTAACAGTCAAAATTTCCGGCGGTTTTGTAACTGCTAGAAATTTCGCCGGTATGTGATAAGTTCGACACCATCACCGGCGTAATTGCCGCCGGTTTTAAGTGATACAATATTATAAAAAAAATAACAAATATGTTGAAAAGCTTGTAAGCATTGATCAATTCATGACTTAGAATGAAATATAAGATTTTTCTATCAGCGCACGATTACCCCCTCTAAGTTAGAAAATATCATATAAATGTGTAAAATATAGTAATATATCAAAGACATTAAAGAGCACATATCATGATTTATGCTGTGAATTATATGAAAAAATCTAATTATCTCATCATAGAAGCTATGCTGCTTCAGTAGTAGATCACAGTAAATAAACTTTGACTTTTGATACCTTAGAAGTACTAACGAGTAACGAGAATCATAATTAGCTCGCATTCACATTATTTTCAATCATTAAAAGAAACATTAAATGAAGATCAACCACTAAAAATTAATGTCCAATTTGATCCACTGTACTTTTTTTGGGACATTTAAGTTTTGTTTGACTATTTTACTGCTTCTTAAAACATCATTTTAGTATAAACATTAAAAATTTGTATTAAAAAACTGTTTTATGAAGCAGTAAGAAAGTCGTCCCTAACTTTATTTGTGACAACTTTCTTATTTTTTGCTAAAGCAGCTTTTAGTACAAAATTTTTTGAACTAAAAATTTGTATTAAAAAATTGTCTTAGAACATAATAAGAAAGTCGTCTCAAATAAAGCCTTAGATCAATTAAAATAAACTCACACGCACGTTATAAATATAAATTTTGAAGCCAAAACTTCTAATGAACAGATCAAGAGTAAGGCTTCGTTTGGGACGGATTTCTTACTGCTTCATAAAACAAATTTTTAGTAAAAAAATTAAAATTTTTATACTAAAAAACTGCTTTAAAAAGCAAAAAAAAAATCGTCTCAAACGAAATCTAAGTAGCTTTGTATCAACATCACGAGCTTATCCACGCATCGAGTACTAAAATGATGGACGGGTTGCTGTTCGTCCACGGTTTACCCGAAAAGTATTCCCTTTATAGGAACAATACATCTGGCCTCTCATATATTAATGCAAGGCCAGGTAATCAGTCTAGATTTTAAATTTTAGTTATAAGAACAATATCACATAATAATAATAAAAGAAAATTATATGGAGATATTATGATATAATTTATATTAAGATAGTGTTAACAAATTTGAAGTTATAAGATAAATATTCAAAATTAGACAATATTTAAATAGAAATAGAAATAATATCATGAATTAATTTTATTATAATGAAGATTTTAAATATTTTCTAATTGTGAGTATTGGTATTATTATTCTGAATGTTTTATTTTTGTATTCTAATGTGAATTATATGAGAATATTTTGATATAATTTGTAAGATATAATGTGAAGTTTAAAAGAGAAATTTTTTTGTCAAATTAATGTTAATATTATGTCCGTTTCTGCTAATTAATTTACCATACATAAAATTAAGCAATTTTCATTAAATTTTTTGAGATTAAATAATTTACCATAGAATAATTTTGTATCGTGTAGGATTTGGTGATGCTTTGTGAACTTCAATGGCATTTGTGATCAAGAAGTAGGAGCTCATGACCTTGAATCGAGATTATGTGAATATTTCTTCACTTTCTCAAGGAGTAAATTTAGGAGTTGCACGTGAGATTTCGGTTTCATTTGAGACAGTTTTTTTGTTGCTTTATACAGCAACTTTATAGTATAATTGCTTGAATTATAAATTTTTAAAATAAAAATTCATTTTAGAAAGCAATAAAAAGACTGTCCCAAATGAAATCTTAAATGTGATGTAGTGAAAATCTAATATGGATTAGTATTATGTGCAGATGTAGCCAATCGGATGTATAACCACATCAAAGTCATATTGTGTAAGATTTAATCGTTGGGGACGTCTTTCTTTCTGCTTCTTTAAGCAGTTTTTAAGTACAAAAATTTTTAATTTTTGTGCTGGAAAGAAGCTTTAAGAAACAGAAAGAAGGACGTCCCAAATGAAGCTTTAATGTATAATAAAACAAGGAGATCAAATTAAGAGGTTATTGGGCCTAAATTATTATTCATGTTGCTTTGCACATCAATGCAAAATGCGAACGAATCCCTATAATCACTCTTTGATATGATTTATAATGATCTTATTTTGTTAAGTTTTATAACACAAGTCCACAAAGGTTTTTTAGTATGCTCTATGAGATTATTATCAGCTACACCAACGACTATTTATGAAGTCGTTCGATCTCCTATTATTTAATAAAAAGAACATAAGCTTAGTAGCTCGACAATTAATAATTTTTTTAAATTTTAATATTACAAATCAAAATCTTTTTTGAAAAAGCGAAAAAATATCATAATAAAATCTCAATGACAAAATAACTTCTACTTTGGTAAGAAAATGATTAAAAGTTCAAGAAAAATAAAAAGTGAAATTAGAATTGGAGAAGACAAATGCTATAGGCATAACACCTGAGTAGAGGAGAGATACAAAGAGTTGAGTGCTAGAGTTGCGCGGAGGAATCTAGTGACAATCAAGAGTTGTAAAAAAGAGAGGATGAAGTCAAAAATAGGAGCATGAATGACTCAAGACGGGGAACTTTTATTACGTCCGGTGTAAAGACGTAGAGGAACGTTCGGTCGGAGGTAAAAATCCCATAAAAAAACTCGGTATTTGCTCGGTATTGCTATGTATTATTTGATAATAATGAGGAATACCGCTCTGTGAAGACCAATACCGAGTTATACTGAGATGTACTGAGAAATACCGAGTTGTACCGAGTTTTTTCTAAAAAAATTGGGTACAACTTTTGTATAACTCGGTATTTGCTCGATATAGCTTGGTATAACTCAGTATTGGGTCTTTAGATGATGGTATTCCTCGTTATTGTATGGTATTGCTCGGTATTTACTCGGTATTTCTCATTTTTTTGCGGGAATTTGCCTCCGACTGGACGTTCCACTACGTCCGGTCGGAGGACGTAATAGCCTTGAGTCATTAATTTTACCTTCTGTTGAGTAATTTTAATTTTTACCTCGCTTTTGGTCTCATCTCCTTCTGTTGGAGTTCTCTTTCTTTGCAATTCTTTTGATTGCGGATTAATTTGTTGTTGTCTTTGTCTTATTTATCTTACATCTTTGGTGATTGCATTAAGGTCGCTTCGACTTTTCTGGTTTTGTTTTATCCTTATTTTTCTTAGGATCTGTCAGTTGTGCTGTATTGGCATATATTTTTCTTTTGATTAACTATTGTAATAGCTTGAATTGATGGCTCGTAAATTTTTCTTTGAATATTGTATTTTTAGTCTCTATTTCCTAATTAACGTGTAGGAGACCCTATGTAAATTTTATTCCAAAATTTTTTAAAAAATGCAGGTTTAAGCATTTGATATATATTAGTGTAGAGATTTCTATTTCTCTGACTCAAACACAACGTATTTTAAAATATTAGTGTAGGTGCACTCATAGATTCATGGATGTACAATAACACAGTTATCCAAATTCAAAATTCAACGGTATGATCGACTAATCAAATATATTTTTTAAAACATACACTTATTGTCATATACATTCCTTATTTTTCTATACAATCTACTTTTTTTATGAAGAAGACAACAAATATTTGCAACAATCAGCTAATTATTTCCGATCCTTCGGTTAGAGAGGATAGTGATCCTCTGGTCCTGAAGCATGTTCATATTAGGAGCCAGCAATCGAGTATAGCGATCAAAGTAAAGAAGTTGTTTCAGAAGCAGAGCAAACTCCCTTGGAAATCTCAGACCATAAGATTCACTTACTCGGACCTGCATATTTACAGTAGATTGGAAAGAATGGGGTGGTGGAGATCTCAACTGATGGTTCAATTAATGACAAAAGTTCTGAAAAACATTGAAGTCTAAGGCTTTGTTTGAGACGACTTTATTATTGTTTCTTAAAGTAGCTTTTTAGTACAAACTTTGTAATTTTTATACTAAAATATTGATTTAAGAGCAATAAAAAAGTCGTCTCAAACGAAGCCTAAATCAACTTACCACATCAAGAAATAAGACATTCATCTGCCTCTCATCAACTACTACATTGGCAGCAACAGCTGCTCGTGAATTTGGTCCCCTAGAAGTCGCAACAATAATTTCTGTATCCAGGTCCTGTCAAAATCAAGAAATAATTTCACGCAGATGTGAAAGTAAGCTAAGTTAAGAAATTAATTTGTGGAATAAGAATACAAATCAATACTGTTCAACACAATTGATTTATTCCTTTTTTTCTTCTTTGCATCCAAAATATAGGAAGGAGATTGACAACCATTTATTCGTTCATCTCTCACCAACCGGTGGGCGTGCTCGGTTGGGAACCTCCTATCCCGAGTTCGATTCCCTCGAGTGGCAGTCACCCCTTCAGTGAGGGACTTAAAGTGCCGGATGCGGGTACAGTGGCGTGGGTGGCCCGGTAGGTCGGCCGAGGTTTACAGACCACCAAGCACGTTCGGCGAAGCCGAGCGTCACAGCGGACGGTTCCTCTTCACCAAAAAAAATATTCGTTCATCTCTTCCACAAAAAGAACTGGCAGTCAAATCTAGATAATTCAGCATATTTGAAACATTGCTAAGTAACTAATGGAAGGTCGGACAGGTAATAATCCTAACAGTATTCTTTTATCTTTTATTTCTTTTTCATATTTCTATCAGACTTGTAGCACATACTACATTACTGTAGATTCTTTGTTAGGTAGTCCTTAGGATGGACTATTTTGTAAGACTGCCATGTAGAAACCAGAATGTACAATGAGAAATCTTCTCTAAATTATTTCCCAGCGTTTCACCTCTAAAGTGTCATCGCCTGAATTAGAGGTTGCTATAGGTGAAAAGGGCAACTTATAAAGATGAGATTTGTCTAAGGCTGGGTATTTCAGCGTATCTCAACGAGTAAAATTTTACAGATTACATAATTATGATAAGTGAGACATCTGCTACAACAATTAGAAATTAGAATAACGAAAACAAATATTTAAAATATAAAGAGCTTAAAATTTTAAAAAAGATTTAAGTAAATGAAATGTAATTTGAGTTCAGTGCAATATCAAAAATCAAAAATTAAAATTTAATAGTTGATAAAGTGAAAGTGTGATAGATTTATAAATCTTGGGCCCATCCAGAGGAAAAAGAAGTGAGGATAGATGTTTTAGAGTTAAAACTAAACAATTAAAATAAATGTTTACAACTATGATATGCCTATATGGACACTTGGATAGATGTTTTGAAATGCTGATAAAGTGTGATAGATTTATAAATCTTACTTCTGGAAATCTGTTTCATGGGAGTTTTATTATAGTTGCTCCATATGCTGATAAAATTGCAAGTAAACAAACCATACAACTATGATATGCCTATATGGACAAACAAACTTCTTTAAAACGACTAAATAAAGTGATTAAATATGAGTGTTGTTGATTATACACATTTAAAACTGACCTAATAGAAGAAACTTTAAATTTCAAATTTCTTTCATACGTTATATTAATGTTAGGGCGTTCCCTGAAAATAACACATTGTATGACCTGAATATAACGAGAAGTGTGCAAGGGTCACTGCACTGGCGCCCGGATGCAGTGTTAAATAAGCAAAGGTTCTCATATCATGGATGAATGTGGGCAAAGAAATTAGTCCATGAAACAAGAATTATGATTTTGCTCTAGCTAGTCCATTTCAGATTTCGTAATTGTTAATACTTTATTTAAGAAAAGAAAGATTGTAAAGATTATAAAGCTATGTCAAGTAAAAGTTTATGTACCCATCATCGCTTATTAGTTTTGAACTTTAAGATGAATTGATGAAATATTAAAAAAAGTAAAATATTATCTTAGAATTAGATGAGATTTAGAGAACATTTAAAGAATACTAACAAAAATATTTGTAAAAGTAGGATTCAAGATATTAAGGTTTTAAATATGCATGAAGAAGCTAAATTAATGTTATGTGGGAAAACGTTGTTAGTGATATTAAGAACGTTGCAAAGGATATTCTTGGAGTATCAAAAGGAAAATTTCTAAATAATAAAAATGTTTAGTGGTGGAATAAAAATGTGCAAGAAAAGATGAAAAATAAAAACTTTGTTATAAAAATTGGTATAAGTGTAAAAGCTAAGAAAATTGAGAAACATATAAAGAGACCTGTAAGAAGTCTAATAAAATAATATGCAATGCAAAGAATATAACTTTTAATGATTTATAAGATAGATTAAATACCAAGGAGGACGAAAGATATATGTATAAATTAGCTAAACAAAGAGATGAGAGAAGGATTTATTTCAAGTCAAGTGCATTAAGGATGAAAATCAAAAAGTGCTTTTATTAAAAGATGATATTCAACAAAGGTGGATGAGATATTTTGATAAGTTTTTCAATAAACATTGTGAGAATATGATTGACCGTAGTGACCTTAGCACACTAAATAAAAATAGAGATTTTTATTTTTATTGGCGTATTAGTAAAATTGAAGTTAGAGATGACTTAAAAAAATGAAGTATAGAAAAGTTGATTGACCTGATGATATTCCAATAGAGGTGTGAAAATGTTTAGGAGATAAAGGAATTTCTTAGCTTATAAAATATTTTAATATTATTTTGAAGATTAAAAATATGCTAGATGAGTGGAAAAGATGTGTCAATTCATATTAATAATAATAAAAGTTATGCACAAGAGTGTGCAAATTATAGATAAATTAAGTTAATGTGTCGTACCATAAAACTATGGGAGAGTTATCAAGCATAAGTTACGACGTGATACTAATATTTCTCAAAATCAATTTGGATTCATATCGAGTAGTTCTACTATGGAAGCTATACATTTATTGAGAAGTTTGGTGTAATTTTTTATTTGAATAGATCTAAAATCGAATACTTGGAATGTAATTTTAGTAAAAATAGATCTAGTTTGGATATTGTGACTTTGGGCGATCAAGTCATTAATAAGAGTACACATTTTAGATATCTAGGGTCTATAGTTCAGAGTGATGGTGAAATAGATGGTGATATATTAGTAAAATTCAAGTTGGATGGTTAAAGTGGATGAATGCATCGGACTTGTTGTATGATAGAACAATATCTCTGAAATAGGGGTGTCAAATGGGTTTTCAGGTCGAGTTCAGGTCCAACTTGGGATTGACCCAATTTCAGCTCGTCTAACCCAAACCCGACCCGATTAAGTAAACGGGTTATGAACTTCGACCCAAACCTGACCCGCCGACCCGACTGAGTGCACAAGAGGGAGTGAGTGAACCAGATAAGCGAGCACGACTGCACGAGCGAGCGAGCGAGCGAAATGGGATGCTGGACCGGGATGCAGGCTGCGGGACGAGGGATGCGGGCAAAACTCAGGTGATTTCTGGTTAGCGAGTTGACTCAAACATGAATCAATTTTTAAAACCTGTCAAGAATTAGGACCCGAACTGAATTTTCTGGGTTGGGTTCGGATCGGATTTTTGGTTCGTGTTAATTGACGCCCCTACCCTCAATCTTCAGGAAATATTCTATAAGATGGTGGGTCGTGTTAAAGAGTCACCCTAGATGATCTAGTTAAATAAAATGTCGGCCTTCTGATGACTCAATTTGGAGAGTATATGTATTAGATTTGACCTATTTAAAAAAAAAATAAAGAGAGATGTGGACCTAAAAAGATTTGGTTAGAAAATATTAGAAATGCCATTTTTTATTAGATTTAAATGAGAAATTGACACTTAACATGACACAATGGAGAAAAAATATTCACTTAGCCGATGTCATGTAGTGGGATAAAGGCTTGTTGTTGTTGTTATTGTATATTCATAGATTTATATTTATATTTATATATGCATATATCTTGAATTAAAAAGTGTTCAAGGCGCATGCCTCCAAGCGCACCTCGAATTGCATTACACAAGGAGTTTCTCGAGGCGTAAGCCTCACAGATTTCAGTGAGGCTTGTGCTTTTTTAAATGAGGCATATGCCTCACGGCTTAATGCCCCGAGGCACTTTGAGGTGTCTTATTCAAAATAGAATTAAAAAACTTGTGTATTATACTACTACTAATACATAATTGCATAAAACCTATTATATTACCACTCCACCCTTGCATTCATTCCGGTGACTAGCTACTGCACTAGAGCTTGAGCTTAGGGGTGCCAAAATGAGTTTTCAGTTCGAGATTGGGTCCAACCTGAAACTAACTCATCCTCGACCGATCCAACCATAACCTGACCCGATTACACAAACATGTCAGAAATTTGAACCCGGACCCGACCCGCCTAGCCCCAAACCCGAGTTAGATTGTAACCAAAGCTGCATTAATGATTGCGTTAATTATTGATTAAATGTGTTTACAAAAATTTTTTATTTTGAAGAATTTATTTTATATTTGTTGATTTTGCTTGAAGGATTTGTTTTGGAGTTAAGATTTATTTTATCAGACAAATGAACCCACAAAGAATGAAATATGAATCTAATACTAAAACATTTTCAGTGACATATGAAAATATAAAAAGTTTGCTGATATGATCACTCAAATGATGAGTAATAAGTTGACAAAATAATTTGGTCAAAATTATAAGAAAATAGGTGAAAGTAGTAAGGAAAAGGCTCTCAAGATTGTCAAAGCACCCACCACTCTGCAATGTATCTAGTGTGGGAGAAGACACATAGGACCCCGCTATAGGATGACAGGACAATATTTCAGGTGCGGTAATTATGGGCACCGAATGACAAAATGTCTATTGCTTGGACATGGATAGGGGATATGCTCAGAGTGGAAGTAGACGGTTTGAGTTCGTGAATGGGGTACCTGAAGTGCTCGATGATACGACTGGCTTGATTTATCTTCTTCTTATATGTTGAGTTTTTCAATGATTTCCTAAGTGATTTATATCCAACATTGATTTTTTTATTTTTAAATCAATTCTGATTTGGATATTATAGACTCAGTTTTATTTTAAGAATGTTCTCTCTCTAATTTACTCATAAAGAAATATCGATAACGGTGTTTTTAAGATTCGGAGAATATAACAATCCAAAATATGATAATATATTTTAAAATGAAATATTTGATTTAGAGCGTTGCAACGCTGAGATTGTGAGTGCTGAGGCGCTAGCCTTTGAGAGCAGCAGCGCCAAAAATCTC